ATCGATTTAGCACCTTGAATCAATCCAAACTAGAAGAATAACTTCCAGGGGATCGTTCCAGGCCCTTTGATCGATCCTCTCTGATATATTTTTATTTTGCTGTCTTCTTTGTTCGGCCATTTTCCTCTAACTCCATCACCAAACTTCAATTAAATTATGTAGAAATGTTCTACAAAGTTCATAGATCATTTTGGTATCATTAATTCATAATTTTAACAACAATTTCATGGTTTATGATCCTTGGTTCTTCAAACATGTAAAACACAAAACTCAACCAAACAACCATTTATAAACGTAGAAATGATCTATACGAACACTCTAGTCACTGGATATATCTACGGGCTTACCTCGAGCTTAAATAGAGATTTTGAAAATTTTACGACGATGATTTCTCCTAACTCTGGCGACTTCGGCGGCCTCCGATTACTCCAACATGTTTTCCTTACTCTCAGGAACACATTGGTACTAAACCAGGGCCGGCCCAATAGGGGGACAAGGTGTCCGTCCGGGCCGAGCCCAAAAATTTTAGGGGCACAATTTTTTTTAAAGTATTTTATATATATATATATATATATATATATATATATATATATATATATATATATATATATAGGGGTGAGTTCCTGTGAGAAAGGTCCTTTGCGAAAGAAATAAGAATAATCATTATGCGTTAGATTACACGCTATGAACGGCTCTGATTAAATCAATCGTTGTTGACTCAACCAACTTTAAAATGGTAGGCAATAACTACAGAGCATAAATGAAGGAATTAATCCCCACGTGTTGTACTTCCAAGGGTAAAAGTGTAATCATGAAAACCAAAAGAGATAGTGCATAATTAGAACCGTATTCATTATCCCTCATTTTATGCTCCTTTTCCATGTTTATCATGTATAGAGTCCAAACAACTTTCAATTACAATTAAATTCAATCTTTTTTAGCGCTAGAAAGAACAATTTTTTCTATGGCCACCACAAGAAATTTTGTATTAGGAACCACGAGGATGCAGTGAAAATTAAGAAATCAAAAGCTTGAAGAGGATGAAATTGCTATTAATGGTGATGATAGATGCAACTGAAAGCAACGAGGATGCAGCTTCAGAAGATATATATGACAATGAGAAGGATAATGATGAATGATACAATGTCCACATGAACGAGAAGAAAATGGTGATGATGATTTTTTGGAGCTCCACCGAATATTGTTCAAACTCATACCAGAGTAGATAATAGGAAAAAACTTGTAGATTTAAAAGGATACCCACCCAATTATTGTTGGTTAAACAATATGTCACATTTGATTTTTTTTCATTTCGATTCCACTTCATCTTGTTGTTGCAAGGCAGTGGACAATGGTACTAGTTATGTAAGACAAGTATGATGATAATGGGATTCATGGATGTTTTATCATATGCACTATTTTGACTAATAGATGCAAGACAACATGGAAAGAATGCAATCATGACATATTAATAAGTTTTACAAGGTAGCTAGAAGTTGCAGCAAACATAAGCTGCGGCAAACATAAGTCTATTCCAAATGCATTTTCAATTAGATTAAACAATGCATTGTGATACTCGAAAATACCAATATAATGTGAGTGCGCTGTCATGGCCGATATATACACTGCAATATGTCCAGTAAATTTTATTTAAAATTTGTTCTATTAATTTATGGATTAGTCAAGAATGATTCTTGATGAATTTTGAATGATGAGAAATCATGAGAATGCATTCTTTTCATAAAAAGTGAAATAGATGTGAGGAAGTGTATGCCTATGCGGGATTCGAACCCACATCCGTAATCCATACCGTGTGCTCTACCATTTGAGCTAATAGGCAACAATTTATTTTTTCATAAAGACTCATTTTTATGCATTTTAGCCTTTTTAAATTTGCATCATTTTGCATTTTTCTAACTCACATGCATCATATTTGGATAAGGAGAATTTCACTATACGATAAATGAATTTCACTTTAATTTTGAGAATGCACAAAAATAGAATGCATTATCCTTCATCTTGATCCTGAAAATGCACTTCACACAAACAACACAACAAACAATCTACGCACTCAAAGGTGCAAAAAAAATTCGGAACTACATCAATCCACACTACAGACATGCAACTATATTTTATTTCACCACACATTGGGTTGAGATCCATTTTTACCAATATAGTGCACAAACAAATTAAAGGAAACTCAAATTGCACTAAAATTTATCAGAAATGCATTTAAGTATTTTTTATTTTGCATCATTCTGCATTTAAAGTAATCTTTATAATGCACTACAAACTCTTTATAATGCACTGAATATTTTATATAATGCACTAAAGATGCATAATATAGGCTCAAAGTAGGAAATTGAATCAACAATTCAACTTACACAAACTCAGTGAATTGAGATATCTAATTCTCAAAACCCAAAAGAGTAAATGATATTATTAAAAGTGAAGTGTGGTCACAAAAATGTGCCTAAAGTGAACACAAACTTCTGTTCACCATCCTAATACGTGAATTGTTGGATATATGTTGTAACAGAAACAAATAATGCATTGCAATGCACTTAAATATGCATATCGTTGTCTGATATTAAAAAGCTGACCAACAAATAAAAAATTTATAATAGGGGTAGAAAGTCAAAGAATAGATAAAAGAAATATGTGATATCAAATGTGGAATATGGTCATTCAAATTAGAAGAGACAATGACTTGAAACATCCAATGATTAGAATCTACCAAAAGAGTAAGGAGAGAAAATTTTTTTAATGGGGAGATGGCAGACAAAGAAAACATCTACCTAGATCCATACTTTTAATCTACCAGGATGCTAAGTATGAAATCTAAAACAAGATAAAAATCATGGAACCATTTGATCAGAAAAGAGCACAAAGAACAAGCAAAAATAAAAAGAATCTAGCATGCAAATTTATAGTGAACAATGGCTAATAACAAAAAAAGATCATACTTCACGATTTAGAATTCGAAGAACAAGGTTTTCACTTCTCCTTCTCAGATCTGGTAAACGGTGAGCAAAAAGAGACCAAAATTATGAGGAGTAATCATACCTTAATTAAAACTAAATCTTGAATATAGATTGCAGAATATGATAAGAGTTCGGGAGAAATGGGCTGATCTTACGGAAATCTTAAATGGAAATAGCGGCTGGGAGAAGAAAAATACAAGAATGCCCTGCTGAAAATTTGGAAAAAGAATCCGTAGGCATAGCACGAGATCAAGATCCAAGGGCTCTTATTCATTCTTATTTCTTTCATTAGATCTCATTCTTACCGGAACCAAAACCTATATATATATATATATATATATAACTCTAGCCCAATCCATACACATCCGTATTTTGGAGACCAAAAAAAAAGAAGAAGAAAAGCTAAAGTGAAGCGCCGATCGAAGCAGAAACATCAAGAAAGGACCGGACCTGCACGGCTCCACCCTCCGCCTCTCCCGCCGGACCTGCACGGCTCCATTCGCCGCCTCTCCCGCCGGACCTGCACGGCTCCACCCTCCAAGTAATTATTCATAGCCTTCCCTTTCCAATTTTGTAATTTTTATTTCTTAAATCTTAATTTTCTTTCATTGTTTCATTTTTTAGAGTCAAAATTTATGGTTAATTCTTAGTTTTTAATTTGAAATCTTTTTTAATTTCATTCTTTGAAATAGAATGAATGAATGGTTCTATATGTAATTTATTTGATTTGGATGAACTGATTTGAATTTGTTATTTATGATAATTATATATTTATATTAAAAAAATTGAAAACCGAAAAATAAAATTAAAAACTAATAAATTGATGAATTGATATGAATTTATGATTTATAAAAAAATTAAAACTGAAAAAGAAAAAACAATTAAAAAAAGAAAAATTGACGAATCGATATTAATTTATGATATATTTATTTATTTATTTGCTTGCTTTTTTCAGTTTTTTATTCTTGATTTTACTTAGTAGAATTTATGAATTTGGATTTTATTTCAGAAATAATTCAATAGCTATTTTGTCATTTATTTTTTTCTTCTAATAATATTGCGTTAATTATAATTTAAATATAATTAGTTTACATATGTAATTTTTTATACCATTAAGATAAGACTCTTAGGGCCTTTTTTCTGTTTCGGCCAAGGCTCCTCAGGACCGGCCCGGTACTAAACTTATAGGTTTTGGTGAAGAATAAGAAGGTTGATGGTGGTTTGTATAGGAAGAGAATGAGGAAGGTGACAACCATTGTTGCGTAGGTGCTGATTCACGATCGATAGTGGAGGAGGAGGCGTCGTTCCCTAATTGTTGCGTAGGTGCTGATTCACGATCGATAGTGGAACAGGCTTCATATTCCAAAAATTCATCATTTGACCGGTCAAGTATTTGTGGACCTTTCTTTGGACCGTTACTGGGTGGAATACACCCATCACTTTGGATAATATTTTTCTTAAAAAAAGATGTTCTTCAATTAATGCAAACGCACATAAGTGAGTAAACTAAAAATTTTCTAGAAGAATGTTTTTTCTCTCAACCAAACGAATTCAAGGGTGAGAATTTAAAATATATAATATTAGAAATAGAAGAAAAAATATAAAATTGAAACAAATTTTGTTGAAAAGCCATTTAATTCTACCCCCAAATTGTGCAATATATACCGTACAATCGGTTGTACGGTATTTCCCGTACATCCAAGGTGAGTACTCATTTACGAGCAGTTATGTACGGAGTATTCATTTTCGAATAATTGATTACTCATTCTCGAATAACTGAGTAGTTATTTTTCTAAAATTTAGTTATGCTCGAAAATGAATATTTAATTATTCAAAAATGAAAATTTTGTTATTCGAAAATGAATAATCAAATGGATGAATGGGAAACAATGTACATATCCAAATTGAGACATTAGTTTGTTATGCATCATCTAGAATCTAAGAGTATGAATAGAATATTTTAACATATTAAAAAAGGCTCCTTCAAAACGCAAACTCATTCCCTTACCTAGAGCAAAGACGCCAAGACTGAAGACAGAGGAAGACTGGTCGCCTCATCTTCACTGCCACCGGCAGCCGGCCTGACCGTGACACGGCCGCCCTCGTCCCTCCGCGTCGGCGCCGTCCAGCAGGCTGTTCTGGTATGATTTTTTGGTTTTAATGAATAAATCCCTAATTTTATTTGTCTTTTTAATTTTAATTTTAATTGTCCAATTTCTTATTCTATGAAATTTAATGTTTAATGTTTGCTTAGAATGATTAATGAACTGTAATTTGATAAAAAATCAGTTTTTTTATTTTTATTTTTTCCTCTTAAAAAGAAGTTAATGCTAATAGGTTCAAATGCTTAATGCTAATTGCTTCAAATGGTTATTATTATTTATTAAAAAAAATTACTCCTTGTTTCTCATAATGTTTTTATACAGAATTACGGAGTACTATACTTTAGAATGGTTATTAGGAAATAGGTATCAGGCTATGATAAACCTAAAAAGAAAAGGAGACTGAACTTACACAATCCCATAGAGGAGCACTGGAAAAATTTAGTTTAATGGAATCCAATGAGAGCGAACAAAAACTTGATCCTGAGCGAAAATGATGTTGATTTAGAAGATGTGTTTGAAGTCAACATTCTTGAAGGTTTAGATAACGCTGATCAATTTGAAGATGTTAGTGCTGAAATTATTGAAATGGATTCACTCTTCCACAACGAGAATACCAACAAATTTGATTTAATAAACCTATATCATCCAAGAAGTTGGCTTGCTCTCAATTCTTGATTGATTGATATTTTGGTAAGAAATGGCCCAAAAGATATTTTTCACTAGTATATGGTCTTAAGGATAAATTTGGGTGCAGATTTTCTTCAACTAATTACAAGAGAGAATTGCAAAATGCGGAAAATGTGATCGCGAGTGGCTCATCTATTCTAAAGAGCTAGACAAAGTGTTTTGTTTTTGTTGCAAGACTTTTAGAAAAGGGGTTGTAAAATGCTTTCTAGTAAATGAAGGCGTGCCATGAAGACATTTTAGTAAACAGATTGGCCTTGATATTGGTTAAATGTGAGAGTTTGGAAGAAGTGAAAATGGGCAGTTTGATTGAAGATTTTGAATCAAAATATGCAAAGAGGATGTCTCTTTTTATGTAAACTTGTAGTGATGTTTCTCCTTCATTGTAACAAATTCAATAATTACTATGAAACTTCTTTAAAATTTGCATTTATGAGATACAATAGTCAATAGGGGTCAAATTTTTGTCTTCGTACTGGTTCTTTTATGTTTCGGACCAACCCTGTAGGCATATCTCTTCATCCATCTTTTCTTAGCGATATCCCTTGTGCTTTTTGGCATGAACTAATTAGATTATTACCCATTCAGCAGTCTGTTACTCTGTTCCAGTTGGAAACACTTCAGGAGACCTAGGATTTGTGTTTGGATCATATTGGGGCGAACTACATACCTACAATTTTGAAAGTTCACCGTAACGAGTCAAGTCCAAGCAAAGCCCAACAATGGTGGGCACTTCGGGAGGCAATCCATTCGCCAAAGAAATGGCCATACGGAAGCGCATCGGCAATATGTATGTTTTCTTCTCCTATAGCCTTAATCCTCAGTATGCATGTGTCTATATTTATAATTGAAGTGATGCAAGCATGTACCCATCCGTCGATCATTTATCTAAGAAATGTTTCTCTATATTCGGATGTCACACTGTTCTTTACAAGTATACAGTTGAGTCTAGAGTGAATAAAATTTATTAGAGTACTCTGTATCTAGTATCTATTTTTAAAATTTCATGTGTAGATCCCTGAAAAACTCAGTTTCGTAAATGATTGTTTTTTTATCTACGTGCTTACTGGCATCTTAGCCTTGCTATCATACATTGAAGTGCTGGAGGCATACATCATTGTGGGATTTGTGGCACAATTAGTAACAGGTTAACACCTGATAAAACACGCTTTGGATGCAAATAATTTCTCTGCCTTCTCTATGACTCTACATTTTTAGCTTTAGTAAGTCATTATTAGGTACATGATTTGCCCACATATCTCTATGATTGTTCAATTCTGTATTTGGTTTTCTACTTTGCTATAAAGTGTTGGTACCTTCATTTTGCAAGAAGTACACGTGATGTTTGATGATATTGTCCAGTGTTAGCTATAAGTTGTGATTATGTAAACAGATGATTAGCTTTGATCAGCCAAACCTTTTTGTACTATCTATAATCCATTATATTTTCCCAATATCTAAAGGTTGATTCTTAAAAACCGTTGAAGCATTGATTTCTTTGATTAATCTTTTCCAAATAGGTACATTATCTAACCAGGTAGCTTGCATACTCTGTGCACATTATCTAATAAGAAATTGGTAGGAAACACCATTGCAGAAAATTTAGAAGTGGGTGGGGTGGGGGATAAAAGAAGTCCAAGTTGTTAGTGGTTTCATACTTTTCCATGTCAGATGAGTAGATGACTTTGTTACACTATATGCTTATTAAACCATGCAGATATAATAAAAGAGAAGAGGATTTTCCATCATTACGGGATTACAATGATTATCTGGAAGAAGTAGAAAATATGAGTAAGTTTATGTATTCTAGTGACTAGATTGAAAGTCTTAAAGTGTGTAACAGTATCCTCCATTCCTCCTACATGCAGTATGTGAGTTGATTGAAGGAATAAATGTTCCAGCTATTGAGGCAAAGATTGCTCAATACCAAAAAGAAAATGCAGAACAAATCATGATTTCTCAAGCTCGTAAGGTACATTCAGTGCCTGCTGTTCAAATGCATGCGTGTTGTGGTGCCCCTTCTAGTACTCATTTATGTTTTTGGTAAATTAGGCAGAAGAGTTGGCAGCAGCCTTAAGTAAGGGACCTTTCCGGTTTGATGGTGATACAGTAAGTTGAACTAATACCATGTATTGTGAAATATTTTCTTCATTTTGTTAGTTAATGCATTCTAAAACATTGATTTGTTTGTTTCATTGGTAAATAAGTTCCTAGAGGCCATAAAACATCTATGCCACCTCCATATATGCCAGTCTGCTAAGCCTAGATAGCAAGGTAGTCAAACTCGTGAGTTCACTAGTAGGAGCGTGCAATTTTACACATCACACAGGGAATTGTATCCAAATTGCAAATAAGATGGAAATTAGAACGAAGCATACAAATCGTAGTGCTGGCAAGAGCTGCTGCTTCTTCTACTTTGGATTCTATGTTTTCTTTTGTTCAAACATGTGTTCTTTCACACACACACACCTGTGTGTGTATCCGTGTCACAATCTTACAATTTGCGATTTTTACGTCGTACATCGATTATACGCATAGTAGTTAAGCTCACAAGTTGACGTGTAGAATTGTGTAATTCAACATATTGCCCAAGGGATTGCGATCTAAATCACGTATAAGATCGGATCTTTAAGAGACAGCAAAGGATCGATGTGTCGGACCATAGGAGCGCTGGAATTGTAGCGGATTGCACAAATTAGAGTAGTTAGCAACCGAGAAATGATAATCGCCTGCGGGATATCCAAGAAACGATTAGAAATTACAGTGGCTCTTAGGAACGTTTAGAGAGCTAGGATTAGGGTAGTTGGGTAGGTGTTTTATGATTGATATTAGTTTGTGCACTTGTTGCTGTGTGCCTTTATGCTTGGTGCTTTCTGCTTGCTTTGTCTTTCATTCGTTAATATTAGTTTGCTCTTTTCCTTTTTGTGCTATGTGTTTTCTCTGCTCTATGTGTCTTCTGTTATCTTGTGCTCGCTGTGTTACTTGAGTCAGGAGTCTCTTGGAAATTGCCTCCCAACTCTCGAGTAGGGGTAACGTACTAAGGTCTTCGTGCACACACCCCATACCCTACTCTTGTAGGATTCGACTGGGTTGTTAGCGGCTCGTAGGTTTCCGATCACTCATACTATATTGCATGCAAGAAATCCAAGAGTCAATCGGAAATCCAAGAAGCAATCAAAAATTGCATGGGTTTTCTAAACCACTTGTGATATGAAATGACTTATCAAATACATGTGCTTCTACTTCTATTTCCAATCCTAGTTATTTATTACTAAATTAATACATACTCCCTTCATCCCAAATTAATGTTCCCGCTTACTATTACGTTCTCTCACTAACTTATCTTTGAATGCATGTTTTCATTGATCATTTGATAAAATTAAACATTTTTTGTCACGTCTTGTTTTGTAGGACTTTTGATTTAGTTTTGAACATTGTAGTTTATACTTTTTATTTCTATACTAATTTATAAATAAAATCATGTTAAAAGTTATGGGATTTTGTACGTTCTTCCAAATGGGAAGAATAAATTGGACGGAGGGAGTATGTGTTATATATACTCGGTGTGTGTGGGATCTTACAATCTGTGTCAAGATCTTTACTTCGGGTATTGATCGTACATAGAATCTTGAGTTTGACTACCTTGCTAGAGAGTTTTCGTTTGTTCAAATAGCTGGAGCATAGATGCAGAATATTGAGATGGGGATGACCCAAATGTTGATAAGAGGATGTGATTCCATAGTTGTGAAAAGCGTGCTTGAAGGGCGATGCTGCCCACAAGGCGAAAGTGCCTGTGCATCAGGCTAGGTGATGCGGGCAACGTTCTTGAGCCGCGTGCATGACAGCGCATCATGCCATCATCGCATTATGCAATGCGATCTGTTGCGCTAAGAGCATAGTTATCACGGCGCCAAGGCGAGGCGCGGCGCCATTGTATCGCCATGACGCCTAGACGCCTAGGCGAGCGCCTAGGCGACAATTAGGCGACAAATAATATATATATATATATATATAGAGAGAGAGAGATTTTGGATCAGGTGAGAATGCAATCTTATGAAAGAAATAAGAATGAATCTGGTGCTTTAGATTGTGAGATCTAAGGGTCAGGATTGCATCAAAATTAGGTGCACCAAAATGATTTGAAAATGCATCATGTCGAAATGCACCAAAATCCTTTAAAAATGCACTATCTCAAAATCAGAGTGCAGGATGCAATCTGAGCCGCACGATGCATCAGATCCAAAGGCTAGATTTTATTCTTATTTCTTTCACCAAGGTGCATTCTCACCTGTACGCCCCTTATATATATATATAATTATATTATATTATATTATATTATATTATATTATATTATATTATATTATATTATATTATATTATATTATATTATATTATATTATATTATATTATATTATATTATATTATATTATATTATATTATATTATATTATATTATATTATATTATATTATATTATATTATATTATATTATATTATATTATATTATATTATATGTTTTTTCAGAAATAGAAAATAAAAAATAAAATATGAAAACACTGATAGAAGACATCTTCTAATTACAGAAAATATATTAGTAAAACATAACGCATATAGGGTTAATTTTAAAGGAAAATAGGAAGTCCTAGTGGCTGGGAATTTAAGAGAAGCTGAAAACCTAAATACAAAGCCATCCGGGAATAGTCATACGGGAATAGTGCTAGTCGCTAAGAATTCCGTCAAAATTGAAGGGTCGGGTCGGGTCGGCTAGTATCCTAATTCTCGGCTCTCTCGCATCTGATCCGAGAAGATCGCAAACAATAAGTCGATCGTAATTCCCAGGCTGGATTTCCGAGCTCAAGAAGGAAGTGAGGCAGACAGAACAACGACCCAATTCAGCTCCAGAGAAGGACGACCGCGAAGTGCCCGAGAGAGAACGACGACCGAGAGATTGAGAGAATACGCAGTGACGATTGGGCTAGACATCTAAGATCAATTGGGCTAGGAATTTTTTTTATTTCACGGCGTAAGTCGCCCCAGGCGTACCGACTGGACGTCTAGGCGTCTCTGCGGCGAAGACTAGGCGAGCTCCGGAAATTAAGTCGAGTCGAAGGAGCATGGCGAGAAAAAAGTTCCGACTGGACGCCTAGGCGACGCCGTAATAATCATAGCCTATGAGGCGTGCACCGCGAACAATTAGTCCTTTTAAACTAAATTTGGTTTAAGAATAGGTTTACACTCCACTTTTTGGCCCGACTCTTCCGCCTATTTCTCTTTTGTGCCCTATGACCTTACGAGTTGCTGGCAACCTCCTGACTCCCTACTTCTTCTCTGGTCTCTCTGCTTCAACTCTGAGAGGGGCGTTGGTGTCTTGCACGCACAGACGCACCGACACAAGTTCCTTGGACGCAGCTGGTAGGCTTATCTGGAGTCTGGTTGCATCCTTTTACCAGGGGGTATTTTTGGTTCTTTTTGGAGTTTTTTCCTAGTAGGTTTTGATCTTTTTTTTTCAAACGTTTTTTTCATCTACAATACAGATTTGCAGGCTTGCAGCAAGTCAGCACTCAGCTGTTTATTCAGTATAATTGCTGTTTTTTTAAAATCATTTTTTCTGGTAGTCTTGAGTTCTTGTAAGCGCATTGTGTTCGTGATGCACATGCATCGATGGCGCATCGCGCATCGAGGCACAAGAGCACCTTTGCACATCGCACTTTAAAAAACTTTGTGTGATGCATATTATGGATGATAGCAGTTAGACGTAGTAAAGACCATGACACTCTGTTCTTGCTCATGTCATCTCCCAAAAACTCCAGTTTCAAATAGAAAAAGAAGTGGAGGTGAGAGTTATAGGGCACTTGAGGGATCGCCAGATCGGGTAAGTTGGCAAATGCAAATCAAGTTAAAATGACGTTTGTGAGTAAGCAAAACTGAATCTAAAGATGGAGAGGGAAGAGATGATGCTTTATCGATACGAGTGGCTTGTCTTTTTGAGCCATCAGCAAGGATAATGGCATTATTGTGATGTGGTAGCAGTTAGCATAGAGAAGGGAGGAAAACATAAATTTTACAAAGGAAATACTTTAAGAGCTAATTATACATATGTGCATACAGCATTTATAATTAAAGAACACACTGTTCTCGAGATTAAATAACACTTACACTATGTTTGGTTCATGGAATTTGGAAGGAAAAGAAAAGAAAATGGTTTTCCATTAGTTTCCTCACCAAAATGGGAGGAATTTGGTTTTCCATCCTCTTAATACATTTTGCTTTCTCATTTTTTTTCCTTCCACTTTTCTTTTCTTTTCCTCTCTAACCAACCATGAAAAAAAGTTTTCCTTCTCATTTTCTTTTCCTTTCCCTCTCAAATTCCTTGAACCAAACATAGTGTTAGTTTCTTAGAGAAAAATGCTTACAAAGGCCCTGTGTTCAATCTTGAGAAATTTATAAATGAACCGCCGAATACACATACTGGCCCCATCATTGATAAAGATGCTAAAGAGCACGGCTTTCAGGATCAGAGTTCAATGATTAAAACAAATCTTGTTCATGACTCTGATGTGTATATATATATATGTATATCTATATATGTATATATATATATATATATATAGATTTTTGGTTCTGGTGAGAATGCGATCTTAGGAGAGAAATGAGAATGAATATGGTGCTTTAGATTGTGAGATCTAAGGGTCAGGATTGCATCAAAATTAGATGCACCAAAATGGTTTGAAAATGCATCACGTCGAAATGCATCAAAAGCCTTTAAAAATGCACTATCTCAAAATCTGAGCGCAAGATGCATCAAATCCAACGGCTAGATTTTATTCTCATTTCTCTCCACAAGGTGCATTCTCACAGGAACCGCCCCCTATATATATATATATATATATATATATATATATATATATATATATATATATATATATATATATATATATATATATATATATATATATATATATATATATATATATATATATATATATATATATATATATATATATATATATATATATATATATATATATATATATATATATAAGGGGCGGTTCAAGTGAGAATGCACCTTGGTGAAAGAAATAAGAATAAAATCTAGCCTTTGGATCTGATGCATCGTGCGGCTCAGATTGTATCCTACACTCAGATTTTGAGATAATGCATTTTCAAAGAATTTTGGTGCATTTCAACATGATGCATTTTCAAATCATTTTGGTGCACCTATTTTTAATGCAATCCTGACACTTAGATCTCACAATCTAAAGCACCAGATTCATTCTTATTTCTTTCATAAGATTGCATTCTCACTTGAACCAAAATCTATATATATATATATATATATATATATCAACAAGTATGTAAAGTTCATTCGCGTAAGTGTTACAATTTGAAAGAAAAATCTCCGCATTTACTTTATATATTTGCATCCAACAAACATTTATTGGCACAAGACGCTTAGAGATGGAGACTCTAAATTATTCGACTTATTTTGAAAAGAGAACATAACCATCACCCGGGATGATTTTTGTTGCCTTGTTTACTTGATTTTCATCTTCATTTGCACAGGCAGCAGCCCAAAGTTCTCAAGCTGGGCCTAGTACTGTGCAACACAGACAATATGCTCCGGCAATTGCTATTGGCCAACCACGCCCAACCCAGCCTGTCCCAATTGGGCCGACTCATGACATGTTCGGATTTGAGATTGAAGATGATGAAAAACTGAGAGAACGAACCGAAAGAGCTGCAAGGGCTGGCGGGTGGACTGTTGAAATAAGCAGGAAAAGGGCTCTTGAAGAAGCTTTTGCTACCCTATGGGTCTGAATTCCTGCCTGATAATGCCACTATCTATCTCTGGAGCAGCTTTTCCCTTTAAGAATGTAAGTTTCTACATCTGAGTGTCAAGTGCAGGTAATTTATGCAGGACCTCTGATCTAGGAAGTGAGTTGGAATATTGCAGTCGTATAAAGAACAAGCAATGACCCTGTAGCTTCTATGGTAGTAGACTTATTAACTCCTCCATCAAAGCCAACCAGAATCTACAATGCAGTTCGAACGATGAACAATCAAACCATGGTCGAAGTAACCAAAAGTACCCAAAGATGAGTGTTCTTGGTTATTACCTTTTGAAGTTTTGACAATGCACAAATTACTCGTAAAAATCTAATGACCGGCTAATCTTATGATTGCGTTTTAATGTTTTCAGACAAAATGATGACTCAGTTTCACATTGGTTTTATCACTTGAAAATACGGAGTACTTTTATACAAGGGTGGTCCTTATATTAGTATTTTCAAAGTTAATTTGCACCATAAAAAATGTTGACACTTGACATTAATCATAAGCTTTCCCAAATGAGGTCAAAATGAAATTTGTTTGAGGTCAAGAACATTCATTCTTTTCTCTACATGCCCATCATATGTAAACAAATTTATTAGGCAAATTTATCATATTCAAGTTATTTTTAATTTAATTAATTTGATAATTAGTGCGTAATACTACTTACATTCTAGTATATTTGTTCAGTTTGACTCTTTTAAATCGAATTAGAAAAAATTTAAATCTCAATAAAATAAAAATTACAGTTTATATTAGTATAAAATGACTTTATTATATTTAACTTGTTGATTAAATTGGATTTAGTTTGACTAAAAAAATTGAATTAAACAAAAATGCTTGGACGGAAGGATGCATAAAGTAAAAATTATACCTTCTCCATCTCATGGATGCTCTTTCTTTTATTCCTCCCAAAATCTTTTTCCACTATTGTCTTCAAGCAAAGATTATATGGTTAATTTTTTCATCTTCCAAATAAACTTCAATCGCGTAGTTTTTTTTAATTAATTGATGGCTTAGAACATGATTTTGAGACAAAGGGAATTGACTTGGTTATTTTAATTTAACAAATGATCAATAAAAATGTGAAAGAAATACTACTCCCTCCGTCCCAAAAAGAATGGGACGGTTTGACTTCTTGGAAAATTAAAGGAGAGATATTTTGGTATTGACTTTCCAAAAATACCCTAGATGTGATGGGTAAAAGTAGGATGTGATGGGTAGATTATTTGAAAAAATGGTATGATGTGATAGGTAAGGTATGGAAAAGTAAGGGGTAAAAGTGGTTTTTTAATAGAAATGTAACGGATTTTACGAGACGCAGTTTTTTCTAAACGTAACAAACTTTTTGGGACGGAGGGAGTATATCACTTGATCTTGTGAAAGGAGCATAATTGTGTGGTTAAGTGGGTATAAATCTTTCTTAAAAATGAAACATGAGGAAAATTAGGAATGCTAAAGGGAAAATAGTAAATGAAATTAAGAGAAACAAAGTTTTTAATCCTTTTAAAAATATATTCCACAACTCAATCTTCAATTTTTGTAAGTTTTTTTACTCCCTAGTCCCTCCCTCTTGTAAATATTGTCTTCCTTCACAAACATACAACTTTTAAATATCAAACCACCTTTTGATAGCTTCTATATTTCATTATACTCAGAATATAATAATGTATATACTCCTAGTGGAAAATACTCCGTAGTCTAATGCAAAATTACACAGTGGTTCGGACTACAAATATTTTGCTCATGAATAGCTATTCTTCAATTTTGTATTTTTTTTCGAGAATTCAAATTTGTATTAATTCTCCAATTTGTAATGTCCTTTTACGTTTGCGTACTCACATTAGTTATTTTAATTAAATCTATACAAGTTATTAAATTACATAAGGTTACTTAGGGATAATTTTGAGTTTTTAGTAAAAACTTGTAGATCCCACATTATCTAAACTATACTCTAGAAATCTGTATAATTTGTGGTAATGTACTCCGAGAGTACATTCCGTCCATTTGGCCGTTAGGATTGAATTTTCTAATCTTTTAACAAATAAATTACCAAAAAGTTACTCCATGATGCCTCACATTTTTCTGCTATAAACTCACATGTCCTATATTACTATATTTAACCGTCAATACTCATTATCTTATTAAATTTTAATAAAATCATTCAATTTATAATCATTAAAATTTTAGATGCTATTTTAAAATTGAAGGATATTATTAAAATTTAATAAACTAACGATTATTAGTGATATTTGACATGTGAGCTCTTGACAAAAACGTACCCTAGAGTATTTTTTGGTGTTTGATTTGTCAAATGACGAAAATTTCAATATTAACGGCCAAATGGATGAAATATACCATCGGAGTACATTACCTCAAATCTTAAAGACTCTCAAAGTATATTTTAGATAATGTGAATCTCAGAGTTCTTTCTAGAAAATTGAGGGAATCTTGGATTACATTTCAGATAATGTGAGACCTATGAGTTTTTACTAGAAAATCGAAGTACTACAAAGTAATTTTTTGCTGATACATGTGCCATGAAATAAGTCTTGGAACACAATACTACAAAAGTCAAAAGTCGACATACCAAAAGCTGAGATTCGAAAAGTTAACATATAACAAAAATGGACATTCTAGAGCCGTAATCTAAAAGCCTGCGTACGGGAAGCCAACATTTCAAAGGTCAACATGCATATCAAGAGTTGATATTTTAAAAGTTCACATACCAAAAACCAACATTTTAAAAGCTAGCATACTAAAAACTGTCATTCCAAAAGTCGACATACCAAAACTTGACGTCGGAAAGTCTCCATGCCGAAAACCTACATTTCATAAGTTTGCATACCAAAAACTAGTATTCTAAAAGTCAGCATACCGAAAGCCGACATTCCAAAAGCCGACATGTCGAAAGCTGACATTTCAAAATGAATCTATTGCATTTCCTATAGTTGGCTTGGTTTTACAATACATAAGTAAAGTTATACTCTCTATGTCCTATAAAGCTTTTTCAATTTTATTTATTATTTGTCTAAGATAATTTTCCCATTTTCTCTTTCCTTTTTAGAATAGAATATGTGAGCCAAAATATTTATCTTTCTTTTAAATGACTCAGAACATTATTATTCACTATTCATCATCTTTTCAATATTTTTCTTAATTTATGTAAAATTAAAGTGACGAAATTAATATAAGATATAATACAATACACAAATTTGTGTAGATTATGTTTCTAGTACTGGCGTACTGCATTTGTTGGTTATGCTGCAATGGTAGAATAATCATTTCATTTTTATTTCACGCAAAATACGAGTATTAATTTTTAACTTTTTTAATTTTTTCAATCCTTCAAACTTTATTTAACTTCTTCTAATTTTTTTGAACTATAAAAAAGTTACTCCTATTTAATAGAGTAACTTTTTAGTTCATACATATCAAATATTACTAATTTAGTCCCCAATTATTATATCATTTTTCACAAATGGTCTTTTGTTAACGTTTTTGTTAAAAACATGGACAAATTGTATATTCATACTTCTCTCTCTCCTCAATTAACCTTCCTCCCTCCTCTCGTACTATTTCTCAAACTCGTTGCTGAGTTTGAAGCTCTAAACCCAAAATTAAAATGATCATTCCTCTCTCAATTATTAGTCTTCCTAGTAGTAGAACCTAAAATCAAAAACTAATAAACTTTATGGAGGAGTTTTATCGGTTAGTCTCAAGAAATTGCAAAGAAAATAAAGATTAAAACTCATCCATGAAGGTTACTAGTTTTGAATTTGGGTTTCACCAATTAGGAAAATTATTGAGAGAAGAGTGATGAATTCAGTTTTGGGTTCAAAGTTTTAAAATCAGCGACGGGTTTGAGAAAGGAGTGCGAGGGGAGGGAAGAAACTTATTGAGGAGAAAAGGAGTGTGAATTTACAATTTTATCCACGTTCTTAACAGAAATGTTAACAAAATACTAGAAATGAATATAATAATTAGAGACTAAATTAATAATATTTGATATGTAGAGACTAAATATGAAAAATGACCTATACAGAGTACTGTAACAACAAAAAATGCAAACCCATCATTTGTGATGGAAAAACCGGAAGGCGTGGCGGGAACTGCATTTTTCCGGCTCTCTAATTTTGGGGGTTTCTCAATTTGATCGCGAACGGGAGACAAATGTCTGACCCTTCTGCGGTGCACCGCCGTTGACAAATCTTGGTACGTTCTAATCTCTAGCCCCGCTTTCATTTCCGCGCATTTCCATTTCAGCCCCGCAAAATCCCAACTTTTACTTAGATACTGCGACGGGGAGGGAGTATTTGAGAAAGAGTGTTACAAGTTGTATCTGGATGAAGATGATAATGATCAAATATTTGAAGGGTGCAGAAAGTTGGAATTACCTTTTCGTAGTGTGAACAGTTATTTTCGGATTGTGGGTTCAGGGTGGCAAATTATATGGTACATCCAGTTGTACCTTCCTTTAGGTACAGCCTGGTATTTTTGTAAATTTTGCAAACTTTTTATCCAATGCCCAGAACATATATGAGAACTATTATATATGATAATGAGTACGGGTAGGTTTGAGAAGGAGTACCAGCACTTATGAGAATTATCATATTCTTATTCAATACAAACATGAATAAACCTGGGTTTTAAATTCTCCATGCTCAGAGATTATAAATGAGTATGAACGAATCGAATAGAGGAAGAAGTTGATGATGGTACTGAACTTTTTAATTGTGAAAAAATTGAACAATACTTTATTTCAGAATGAACATTTCCTTATTTGAGAATGAGTATTATTATTTTAAGAATGAACACTACGCTATTTATTATAATTATATTAGACAAATGTGTAAAAATGAGTACTCCGTACTTCTTTATTTTAAAATAAGTACTACCTTTGCCAGAATGAGTACTACGTATTTCGAAATGAATGTTTATATTTGTACGAGAATGAGTACTACTTTATTTCAAAATGAGTACTACCGGGATGTACCTATTTCTAGGTACATCCGGATGTACCATATACCAACTCGTTCAGGGTTCTTGCAAATTGCAATGGGTTCATTTTGTTAGACAGATGACTTGTTCCATTCACTCATGGGCCTTGTACCATACCCTTGGGTTTGGGTTCGATCCATTGATCAATGGTTACAAGGTTGTCAGGACTCAGGATTGTTAATATCTCTTTCAATGAGCTGGCATAGCTAGTTCTTGAGCTTAATGAGTTGAGGAAAGGAAGATGGGGAGATATTAGTCATGCTGCATGTGGGGTTCGCTATCGTGTGGGGGACACAACACCTGCGGCTTTCGTCAGGTGGATTATGCATTGGGCAGCGATGGGCGAAAAGTTTAGGAATCTAATTTTGACTTTTGAAATGAGTAAGGAGGTGTTTTGTTGGCTAGATCTTGGTATCTGATACTGTGGCATGGGCGAGTTTGGAATATTTTACAGCTTTGAGGGTTGGGACTTACAAGCAGTCACTTGCCTTTTTTTGTGCAAAGTACCGGTGGCACAGACCCTTACTGCCGTGTGTGGGGGTTATGCAAGAGTATGGGGATGGGGGTCATGGACTCGTTATTCTCCATCAACCATGGACTCGCCAGGGACTTCAGTTGCTAGTCGGGTTTAGGCAAAATGGTGAAGCTTTATTTGTGGATTGCAATAAATGTCTTGTTTTTTTAACCCCAAGGACCTACTGTCCATTGAGTATCTTGATATCAGTGGCTCGTATAGTCGTATCTGTTGGCTTTCAATGCAAGCACGTATAGAGAGAGTTTTGGTTTTTCAAAAATTTAAAGGGGTCCAAGGCGTTAAGGCGAGTGTAAGGCAACGCCTAGGCGAGCGCCTGAACGCCTTAAGGTTTTTTGGGCAAGGCAAGCAGAGCAGGCCTCCAAGGGACAGCGCTTTATCGCCTAGGCAACGCCTTATAACTATGCGCAGTAGGTTAATTTTCTTAATAACAATATGGTAATAGGTTAGAAATCTATTGCTTAAAATAGAAGTTTTCCTTTATCAATAAGACATGCAATTGCGAGCTTAATTACAGACTGAGACAAAGTTAAGTCTCTCTAAGGTCTGTCATGGCATGAAACTCCTTCTACGTAGGCTTTGTCAAAGTGAGTCTGCCCTATTCAGGGGCTTATCACACAGATCTGAGTGACACAAGGGTAAAAGTTTGATATTGCATTTAGCGACACAAGTCCACGACATCTTGCTATTGTATTTTTCTTCTTACATAGAACTGAAACATGTCAATTTACTCAGTTTCAACAAACTAATTCATTGCATTTGAGTTTGAGGCACGACAATTTATTTGCTTAATCATTGATTTAGGCCCTGTTTTCTTCAACCTATTCTTATTAGAATTAGATCAGACTAGATCAAATCATATCGGAGATGACTTTAAATATAACTAGAATCACACTAGATCAAGCCTTAATAAAATCAAATCAGATCAACAAGCTCTTACTTTTCTCTTGCAGAATCCCAACCAGTTGTGAAGGAAAGAAAAGCTCATTGGAGCCAAATCATTAGACTGAATGGTACTATGAAAATTTGCCGATTAGGTTGTGAGCACAGGATGCTTCAAAGTTGCAGTACTATTGAGAATAAGACCGGATCTTTCATATCATCGAGTATAGAGCAGTACTACAGAGCAAGCCATCCTTCCCATTCTGTGGTTTCAATGGCTGATGCATTGGGTTCAGAAAGCATGTTTCAGCCATAGTACTGATTGTGATTTTGATTATACATTTGCCTTTCGAGTGTATTATGCTTTAGGTGCATTGAAAATGGTATGAACTGTTAGTGTGTTTTGATTGACAGCTGTATGTTAGTTGAATCATTATCAATTCTTTTCACAATTCTACATTCTTGTGGCACACATAATAAACAATACGGAGTATATTACATGGTACTAATTAACAGATCCAACCTGGAATTGAAATGAAATGTGTCTATATATCTATTTGTAGACACACACAAACACGCGCTCACACAAGGAATCTTATACTAGAGGGGCTTCCCTGTTTTGTCATGATTCCCAGGAGACTTGAGTTCCGAGGGCTCAGCATCAACAAGCATTCTGACAACATTTTTCATTGTCGGCCGAAGATTTGGTAGCTTTGTGGTGCAGATTGTGGATATCCTCAGGACTTTAATCATGTCATCCTGGACTAGTTCTGAAACTACATCAGGATCAAGAATTCTCAGAATACTTTCACGGTCTTCTAAATGCGTTGAGACCCAGTAGACTATGTCCTTCCCTTCTCCATAAGCATCATCTATTGGATTTCTTCCTGTTACCAGTTCTAAAAGCACAACACCAAAGCTGTACACATCACTTTTCTCTGTCACCCGAAGTGTATAGGCCATCTCTGCGTACAGACATCCCCAGTTAAAAATTCAGTAGGAAAAGGGGAAAAAAGGAGAAGAAAAAAAGTGACCACTCGTAAAGCTTACCGGGAGCCATGTAACCATGAGTTCCTGCAAAACAGCTGAGGTCAGATCCTCTTTGTGAAAGTTCAGAAGTTCTTGCAACACCAAAATCTGAAACTTTGGCCTCATAAGCTTCATCAAGAAGAATGTTGGTGGACTTGATATCTCTGTGAATAACAGGAGGAGAACAGTCATGGTGCAGATAAGCTATTCCTTTAGCAGCTCCTAGTGCAATTTTATACCTCTGATCCCAATCCAACTCTGGCTTCCCAAGTTTGATCTTGCGGTGAAGTGCTTTGAAAAGATTGCCATTTGCCATGTATTCAAAAACCAAGTAATTTGAACCTCCATTCATTACACTTGCATAGAGTTTCACTATATTTCTATGCCTGATCGTCCGCAGAATCTCCATCTCTCTGGCTAGAACTCTCACTCCATCTCCTTTCCACAGTTGCTTCACTGCTACAGTGCCACAACCTTTCTTCAAATCCAGACGATAGACTTTTCCTGTGCCTCCACTCCCAATCAAATTCTCCTCGTCCACGCCACATATTTCATCAGCATCAAACTCTATAGGATGGAAGCTCTCAAGCTTCCATTTCGGGTCCACTCCCGTGGCTTCCCCAATTTGTTTTATAACATCCGCCTCTCCGTGCATATTGCTGTTCCAATAGCTCACAACCAATAACCCCACCAAGAGGACAGTTGCGGATAGAAATGCAATGCAGAGAACACGTATCTTGCTGTTAATGAGTCTGTTGTGGTGAGTGGCACTCCAACCACAAACACCTAAGGGCTCCGTGTTTATTTCAGTTTTTATATTTTGATCAACACAAAGTCCCTTGTTACCAAGGAATGCCTTGTCTCCTCCCATCATCAACAGATCATAAGGAACTTCTCCGTATAGCTGGTTGTTGGACATATCAATTGAAGAGAGTTTCAGGCCGCCTAAGCTTGTTGGAATTGAGCCGGTCAGCTTGTTGTTTGAGAGATTTAGGGAGTTCAACAAGGAGGGCATCACTGTGAGGGAGTCGGGAATGCCACCACTTAGCTTATTATAACCAAGATTTATATCTGCCAACCTATGGCAGTCACCTAATTCCACAGGGATTGGTCCAATGAATGAGTTTTTCTCCAGATGCAAGGACGTCATTTGCTTTAACAAACCAAGTTGGGATGGTAACAAGCCAGAGAAACCATTGTTGTCCAAGTAAAGCCTCTCCAAGAGAGAGAGATTTCCAACTTCTTTTGGCAGCCAACCTGAGAATTTGTTGTTTGACAGAAATAACTGGTTCAAGTTTGTAGCAGATCCTATCCGAGGGGAAATTTGTCCAATGAAACCATTATAACTGAAATCAATCATTTTTACGTTTGGAAGGGCCCATACCCCTTCGGGGATTTTTCCAGAGAGCTGATTCTGAGTGACTCTCAACCTCTCCAAAGGCGTGCATGCAGCATAAGCATCTGGGAACTCCCCAGTAAATCTATTCTCCACCGCAAGCAAATACTGCAACTTACCATTCTGACACAAGTGTTTTGGGAATCCACCAGAAAATTGATTTTCAGAAATGTCTATGCTCCTCAGTGGTGAAAACCTGCCGAGATTTTCTGGGAAATCACCAGAAAAGCTGTTCTCGAATACGGAAAAGCTAATGAGATGCTGCATGTTGCCAAATCCTTGAGGGATTACTCCTGAGAAGTTGTTTCTCGCCACCTGAAAAACGGTCAACTTTTTCAGGGATTCAAGGGCTTGAGGAAGCGTACCATGCATCTGGTTATCAGAAACATCAAACTCCTCCAAGAGGGTGAGCGCTGCAAGTTCAGGAGGAAGCTCGCCCGTCAGATTATTGCTATAGAGTTCTATTTTGTAGAGGTTTGTCATGTTGCCTATCATCTTCGGGAGACTTCCAGAGATGTGATTCCTGCAGATATCCAATGTCTGCAATGCCTCCAAGCTGAAAATAGTCTCTGGGATTTCTCCTACCAAATTTGAACCGGCCAGGTAAAGCCATGTTAGTTTCTTCAAGTTCCCAATGCTCTCCGGAATTCCCCCCTCGTTGAAATCATTTTCGCCAAGGCCTAACGAGACAAGACCAGTAAGATTTGCAACCCAAGATGGGAATTCTCCAGAAAAATAGTTGATGGACAAGTCAAGAACCTCTAAGCTGGCCAGCTTTGATAAATCAGGGAGGGTGCCATTCATGTTGTTTCCAGTGACATTCAAGACTCTGAGATTGGTACAATTGGTCAGTTCAGTGGGGAGAACTCCTGACAAGGCATTCGATGGGAGCACCAGAGATGTGAGGTTTTGAAGCAAAGAAACCGAGGTTGATATCACCCCCGAAAGACTCTGGTTATCAAGCGAGATCTCTGTAACCAAACCGGTTATTGGGTCACACGTGATGCCGTAAAAACGGCAGGGGCTTTCCGTATCTTCCCATGAACCCAAGACATTCAATGGGTCACTGAGATGCTTTTTGAATTCCAGAAGGGCTTGGGTTTCTACCCTCAGAGGCGTGGATGGGAGGAAAAACCAGAACACAAGTAAAAGATTTGCATGAATTTTGAGTTGGAGGTGGTTTGGGTTTGTGGCCATTATGGAAACTGATCAGAGGTCAACACATAAACTTCGCCAGGGAAGGAGAAATGCTGTATCTAACTAAGCCTTCATTATTATTGCCATGATGAGGATGAGGGGATGCCCATACTAACTAGATCTAGCTGAAACAAAAATACCAGCAGCAATCATTACTTAGCAACCCATAAATCATTGTTTTAAGAAACAAACAAAAATAAAATACTAATAAATTCTACATCCTAGTCATTTAAATCCTACCCCAATATATATATATATATATATATATACACACACACACAGATATATATATATATATATATATTCAATCTTTTGTTTTATATTTTCATCATTTCGTTTTTTAATTTGTCCCTCACAAAGTTATCGCTTTTCGGTATAATTTCCACTTTCCATCCAATTTAATTTAAGCCGAATGTTTCACTTTTATTAAAAATTGTGCAAATTAATTAATTATGTGAAATTAAATTTAATTTCACATAAGAAATCAAGACATTGCTCACTGAAGTGACCGAACACGTCCTCAGATTAATGTAAAAGAAGGATAAAGCATGTGAATTATGTAAAAACTCCGTAATGTTTTCTCGAGATAAATTGGGAGTAATAACCTTTAACCAATTTTTTTCTTCTAGAAAATGTGGGAAGTCAGAGTCATGGCAAAAAAAAGAGATGAAATACATCATGAGAAACAAGTGGTGAGTGACACTTGGAAATTGAAAGGCACCCACCCACCCACCCACAGGTCACAACTAAGTAACTAGTGAATTGTGCAGACAAGCCAAGACATAAAATATGTGATTGGCTGATTGAGAATTAAACACCTAACTCAATTAGGGAGGTAAACAAATCAAATACTTTTAGTTCGATTCGTGATTTGTATTCGAATATAATGATTCGAATTCGCATTATTCAAATACAAATACAAATTCAAATTCAAATATCAATTTTGATTGGAATATTAAACAAATACAAATACAAATAGGAGCATATTCGATTCAGGTGATATTCGAACATTCGAATATATGTATATACACACAAACCATGTCTCAAGATCAATATAGTCAAGTAAAGTAATATAGATAAATTATTAAAAATTCAACAAATTAACGTAACACTAAAATCTAAAGCATATAATTTTTAATAGTTATATTTTATAAAATATAATTTGTGTGATGTGAAAGTGTATTAATGTTTTTAGATAAAGTATAAGAAATATTGTAAGTTAAATTATTCAAAATCTATGTTGGTCTATCATATAAATTACGCAGTGTGATTATTAAAGTATTCGTTTAGAATTCATCAAGTATTCGAATATTAATCAAATACAAATTCAAATCTTATTTTTAATTCGTCTCATATTCGGATTCGTATTCGTATTCGAAAAAATTAAGCAAATACAAATTCAAATATCTTGATATTCGCTTTGATTCGGTTCGTTTACACCCCTAAACTCAATGAATGGCTGTTCTTGAATACGTATTTTTATAGCACTAAAAATAGTGAGTAGAATTTTTTTTATTTATTTATAATGTTAAGTAATGCCACCACATAATTAATAACATAAAGTACATTTATATTGTGCCAATAATTATGAGGTCGGTATATATAGCTAGTAGGGCAGTTGTTACCATAAGCAGGAAATTATCCTCTCTAACTGTCGGTTGCAAGCTTAGCTGATTGTAGTTGTTGATTGCCCGCGAATGAAAGCCGAGATCAGACTAACCCAAAAAAATGGCCGCAAGAAGAATTGAGATATGGCTCACACAGCTGAGAGATCGAAAACACGAGATAGGAATGTTTCTTCTAATCTCTTTTATTTTTAAAAAAAAAGAAAGAGAGAGAGAGAGTTGAAGGTAAGATATAAAATAGGACGGATATGAATGATTAGATAATATATGGAGTGGGAGGGAGTGAGGTGGTGGAAGCTGGGAAGAAGGTGGGTGGGGGGGGGTGGGAGATACGGAGATCGGCACTTTGGAGTTTGAGGCAGACCGCCACGCCAATATGGACATACAAGACTTCTTTTTTCTTTTATTTTCTTTTCTTTTTCTTTTCTTTTTTCTTTTAAATTTAATGGGGGGGAGAAAGAGGGAAGGGGTGGATAAAACGCAAGCTGCCAAAACAGCTCTATCATGTTACGGTCCTGCTAGGGGTACACCAAGTTGGTGTACCCCAAATGAACACCATATACACCCCCTCTCATTCCATAACCAATCCTACCCTCATCTCTCCTCCTCACTCTTTCTTCCTCCTCAGATCCGTGAACTCTTTCCCTCCCTGCCGATGATCGACGCAGCACCAGGCAACATCATTTCCCTTTCTCACTCATTTTCTCTTCCTCCATAGATCTCGCATCTCTCTTCCTCCCCACCGGTCGATTAGCTTCATCTTCGGCACCCCCTGAAGTTGCACGCTGTGGGCTCCCCGCAGCCGCCTAGCACAACGGCGCCATCATCATCATCGTCGTCACCGGAGCAGTAAATTATGGCAGAGATGGTGGTGCTGTTTTATTCAGATTACACAAATAGTAAATGTCTGTGTTCAAGAAAATAAGGACATTTAGTGTATGTGTGACTAAATAGTATTGATTGTAATTTTTCTTTTCTTTTTTAAACGTAGAAAAATTTGTGAAATGTTCTTGGTACTGTACTATTTCATAGATTTGAAGGGTAAAATTTTCTTCTAAATTACACAAATAATAAATGTCTGTGTATAAAGAATTACAGATTTTTAGTGTTTGTGTAACTAAACATTGGTAATTATAATTTTTTTTCTTTTTTACAATCAAGAGTAATTGTGAAACATTATTTACTATAGCATTATTTAGGTTTTACAGACAATAAGTTTCTGTTTACGATGAATTACAGACACCTTGTTGTCTGTGTGACCAAAATATACTCCTTACTTAGTTGAACATATGACAATAAGCCTCTCATTTCAGGCTTCAAAACACCTCGAGCGTCTCATTAAATACATGATACGAAGCAGACAAGCAATTAATATTGAAAACAGACATTCTACGTCTGTGAGTCAAAGTTCACATACATTTACCATTTTTTTTCAAAACATGCAAAATTACAATTAAGAACTTATTGTTCATAATACAAGAACAAAAAGTAAAAATTCAGAAAGATAAATACATGATACGAAGCAGGCAAGCAATTAATATTGAAAACAGACATTCTACGTCTGTGAGTAGAAGTTCACATACATTTACCATTTTTTTCAAAACATGCAAAATTGCAATTAAGAACTTAGTGTTCATAATACAAGAACAAAAAGTAAAAATTCAGAAAGATAAATACATGATACGAAGCAGGCAAGCAATTAACATTAAAAATAGACATTCTGCGTCTGTGAGTAGGAGTTCACATACATTAACCATTTTTTCCAGAATACCAGTTCATGTTTCTGCCTGAATACCATTTTTACCT